AGCCCAGCCGCGTCGGGCTCTGGCGGGAGGTCTATGGAAATGCACTTAGTCGCAGCTGTACAGTTCGGATCATGGTGGCTACTGTATCCGCCGCCACCAGTTCCGAAAAGATGCTGTGGAACCTGAGAACTACTGATTGACAGTGCACATACAGGACAAAGGCGAGTAGCCTTCGGAATGCAAATCTCACATGCCCTTTTCATGCATATCTTACATTCCCCAATTTTGCTGGGGTCAGGAATATCCCGATCACACATCCGACAGTTCTTGTCAGGAGGATCGGGGCCACGCATGGTCGGCGGCTCAAGGCCTGAAGGATCCTTCGGCCTTGTACCGTTGGGATCAAATCCTGGATAATATCCGGTTTCACGTTTATCCAGGGGCACGGGTTGCGTAGCCTTCGGAGGACTCTGAAGGTCAGCCGCGTTGGGTTGACCCCCAGTTGGGGTGTCACGGAATCTGTCAACGGGTGGCCGCAGAGGCGGCGAGAACGACCGCGTCGGGTTCGTCTCAGGTACGCCTCCAGGCGATCTATTCCTGACACGGTTACCATCGGGATCCCTTCTTCTCCTAGTTTCGTCCCTAAGGCACGCAAGACAACAGGGACCCTGGACAAATCCAAATCTCCTGTAGTCATCCTGCCCAGCAGAATGTCTGGTGCAGTAGTAGGTCTTACAAAATTGACACTCAATTCCCTTGGTCAGGAACGAGCTCTCCCTACAGACTCCGCATCGGGGTCCGTTACGGGAACATTCTTCACACAGGTTCTCTTTAAATGAGAAACAATACTCACAAATATCACCTCTGCATCCCTTGCAGTGAAACTCAGCCACGAGATGATTATACCCATCACCTACATATTTACACCTGGGTTTACCAGGGCTGCCAGGGTTCCCACCGGCAGCACTCTTCTTCCCCCCTCCTCCTGGGCTTTGCCAATCTGGAGGAGGAGGTGGTGGAGGATCACCATCAGGAGGGCCAGGTGGAGGTGGCCGCTTATCCGGAGTACGGGACGCGGCTCGCCTTCCTCCTGTGTGATCGTTCAATCCACTACTTGAGGCCTGGTTCGAGTGCCTTGACTCGAGGGAGTTAATTCTCTGGGCCGTATTACCCAGCACCTCGAGCATTTGCTCGAGCTTACTGTTGAGCGTAGTCGAAACGGCCATGTTATGAGTATTCTGCTTGTCCGTGTAGGATTTGCAGTCCCTTGACTTCATCTCAAGGTTGGCTTGTGTCTCATAAAGTTGGTCTTTAACCCACTTTATGCCGTCCCTATTGTTGGTCCAGCGTTGTTCGACATCTTGCATCATCCTATCAATCTGACATACCCTAGTGGACAGGTCCTCGATTTTGAGGTTCACTCCACCAATAGCAGGATGGTTGGATTGGCTCTCCACTAGAGATCTCTCGATCATATCAACACGAGCTATAAGCCCGGTTACTCGATCAGAAAGAGATTCAAAAACAGTTTGAACTTGGGTGATGGAGCGAGCAACATCATCATAGCTGGCTCGCTCATTTAGGGCATCGCCTATGCTTATCATGCGATTGGAAACGATCTTGACGCGTTGGCCAAGCTCGGTCACGATGTCCTTAGTCCCTTGTGACAGCTGCATGGCCGCGTTCGCAGCCTGCGTACACGTGCTACTCACATGGACGCATTGGTCGTATTTGGCCCTCCACGAGTTAACCTCAGTGGAGAGCTGCTTGATGCATTGATCACTTCTATCATTCCTACGCCCAAGGTCTTCGACCTTAGCAACCAGGCGATGAATGATCGCACTTACCGAAGAGTCCACTCTCCCTCTTTCAAGGGCTGTTACAAGATCAGCAACCTCGTTGGGTTGCTCCTCACTCGCAGGACCAAATCCTGATCCGCGATCTCGAGGAGTGGACAAATCAACCATGATCGGATTAGATCTCGGAGGTGTCCTGAAATCATCTTGTACCGCCGTTGATGGCCGTGGGAATTCGCTCCGATTCGGAGACTGACTCTGATACGGTGCAGATCTTCTGGCATCACGAACAGCTGATGGCTGTGGCATGCCTAGACCCTTTGTCACAAACAATTTGGGAACTACCGGCCTATCAGTCCGCATAGGAACTTCAGGCTTCATATCAGCAATGACAACGTCATGCAAATCAGTCGCATTGGACGCTCTAGACTCAGACATTGATTCAACATCGGTAGCGCTGCTGACGGTGTTGTTGTGATTGGAACTTGATGCCATCATGGATTCAGACTCAATCGGAACATCAGCTCCGTCTGTGTTGTCAATGGCGAGAAAGGAAGCCGCATTGGGCGTAGGGCGAAAAGGCTGCACATTCGGGCCACTCGACCTATTGAATTCCTCCTGGAATGCTTCGATCCCATCAAGCACGTTAATCAACGTGTCCGCGTTTAGCGGATCTCTACCAACGATCGACGCTGGGTCACCTGATCGACCGCGTCCTGAGTCCCGCGTATTGGGGTTAACCCTATGGGCAGTTTCCCGATCCATCCCCCTTGCCCTATGCGATCCAGTCGAATTTGACCTTGATCGTTTGCTTGGGGTTGGACTGGGATGCAAATCCAATCTATCTACGATATTACGCTCCCTAGGGCTCTCAAATCCTGAAAGTCCTGGGGGAGGGGACATGTTCCTCATGGTCGGGTTTACCGACGGCCTTGGCCTGACGTTACGGCTGGCCACGTCAGGATTGAGATTCTCAATCGACAAAGGTAGCATGAATTCATCGCTTCCAGCAGCCCGTTTTGGGCTTTGGAATTGCGGGAAAGATGACGGGGCGGGTGGCCCTGGCATCCATGCGGCAAAATCCATACCAAAAATGTTTCCGTCGTTGGGCCATGAGGCTCTCCAATCGAGCCCACCGGATTCGGTCGGCAGATGAACGTCAAATGCAACTCCACTGGATGTACCAGGTTCGGGATTACCGAGCGCTTGAAAAACTATACTACTGGTTGGCACAGGTCTACTGCTACTTCGAGAGTCACGAAACTCGGACTGACCAATATTCATCAGCTCCGGGAAAGATGAGGATTGAGCTCCAGGTGCAATACCGGGCTCGTCATCATCACGTCCTGAGACGGAATCATCATGGTCAGGACGATTAGCCCCATGACCCTGAGAGCGATTAGCTCTTGAGGCATTAGACGATAGGTCATCAGTGCGAGTAGCACTGGACCTTCCTGAAGGCATTGCTTCTGAAAAAGTGTGGTCCGACAAAAAGTCAGGACCGGAAAACATCGGCTGTCCGGGCACTTGGTCGTCATTCACAACGTCCAAGATTCCGGCCTGGCCGAGAACCCATTCATCGGTCACCACATGAGGTCCATCCTCAGTGATTCCCGCCATACTATTTACACTACCCTACGATGCCTGCAGGGTTGTTAGAAAGGGGTTCGCGGTGCCAACCGAGGACGAATCCTACGGCTGATAACCTGCGAAAGGGTTTGAAACAGAGTTTCGGGATGGATAAAACAGGCCCTAACCCACCAACAAGAAGAGACCACCTTATCCCCCCGGTCCCAAGGGCAAAGCGGTTGCCCTCGGCCGGCACTAACACGAACCAAAAGGGGTGCCTCGTTGTAACAAGAAGAAACCAAGCAGAAGCGCAGCACAGCGCAGAGCAGGCAGGCAAACCAGCAGCAAGCAGCACCAAGCGAGCAAAGCAAGCAATAGCAGCGCACCTCAAACAATAGCCCGACCCACCTCCAGGACAAAGAACACCGCCCCAGGCACAACGGCCGCGTAAACACGAGGCCGGTGTAAAGGTGCGCCGTGATCTTTTCCCGACGAAATGGCGAGCAATGAATGCCAGGTGAAAAGCTTGAGCCAAACGGCGCATTGGCCGTGGCATGGAAACATGCTATGATAAAACTACATGCCCCCAAAAACAAAAATAATGGTCAACAAAGTGGGAAACTGGTCTTAGCAGTCAACAAGTAAATGGGTGAATCAAGTAAGTCGGTGAATGGGTCGAAAGTGGATGAGCACTTAGCGCCTCTTGACGGTCGCCCAACTGTACAGGCCAGCTAGGCCCAAAATAAGGGCCTAAGTCAATAGAATGGGCACCCTGCAAAATGGGGAGGCTTCCTTTTGATTTCCCTTTAAACCAGTGGGATGTGAAAAGAACACTTAGTCTAGGTCCTCCAGTAGAGAGGTAGAATAGGGTACCCTGTTTTTCCTGTAGTCTATTTTAGTAGGGGAGCCCTCCACCAAAAAAGAAAGGGTGAGAAAGGTTGCACCAATCGCTGGGGGACCTAGCAGTGATCTATGAGAGTGACGGGGATCCCGCCCGGTTCATTCCAAACAGCCTCAAGTTGGCTCAAGCAGAATTTGTTCAAGCTTGCGAATGAAAAGAGCCCACCGACTCAAGCTTGCCAATGAAGAGTCACTTCCAACCCACACTCCAAACTAAGCAACTTGTTAACTTGTTCTGGTGTCCAGTGGGAAGGGAGGGGGGAAGGGAGGGCAGGGAAAGCCACCTTGAACACGCTGGCTCTGCATCAAACGTGGGAGGCCTGTCGCGAACCAGTCCAAAGCCGCTTGCGCCTGAATCGCAAAACCCGCCCCCCACCCCATCCCCAGTCACGGCTGTTGGTTCTCCTGAAACATCCTCCCCAGGCTAAAAGGTGGAACCCCGCAAAACCAATCCCTTTCAGAGGAATCGCCTGTTCGGGACCCGTTCTTGGTCTCCGGTTTTTTACTTGGCGAGCTCCGAAGACCGCCTGCGTTACATGTTCAACATGTCTGGCATGTATCTTATGTCTCTTGCGGATGAGCAATTGCGACCAAATGATCTGCGGTCGTAACCCACACCGTTGCACGGCTAGCTTCCGTTTGCTTAAGACCCCTGGCAAAAAAAAACACAGTGGTGACCGATTCCTTTTAAAACCAAAAGGGATCATGATATATTCTTAAGCAAACGGAAATAAATGCCCCCCCTGCGCGAACAAGCTCCACCGCGCAGCTATTTAAGTTTTCTAGCCGAGGGGCGTAGGTCCAAAGCAGGCTTTCCGCCTGTCGCACGTCTTGCGCGGCTTCACTCAGTTGCCCCTTTGCGACCCAGAAACAAACGGTTCAGCCTTTGGGGTGACTAATCTGGACCAAGGACTCGGGTGAGTTCATGAAGCGTTGAAACGGCCCGACTCCGCTTGGACAACCTTCCGTCGGTGACGAGATATGGCAGGTTCGGACCAGCCCCGAGACTCGAGCAAAGGCGCCTGAACAAGGGAAGGAGTGGTTTTGTGTTTTTGTTTTTTCTGAGGATAGCTTCTTCATTTTGTTTTTTTTTTTGGGGGGGGGGGTTGGTTTAAAGGGGGGGACCAAACGGACCACCACATCTTTGCTTTGCGGGGGCACCCATTTGGATAACCCGCTTTTGGGTCAACGTGTGCGAGGGAGGTTCGTGCGGCGCCGCCAAGTGGCCCAACCGCAAACGGGCAACATGTTCCCAAGCCCAAGCTGAAAATTCGCCACAAGTGCCTGAAAAAACTCCCTCCCCCCCCCCCACACACAAACAAACACAACAAACAACATGTACTTTGTTAAATATACATACATGTATACATATACACAGATATATATATATATATATATATATATGCAGAGTAATTTATTTATTCATTGATTGATTTATTTATTTGGCACTAAGCTGGCCCGAACCCCAAAAACTGACTGAAGTCCCAGGAACTCAGCGAGTGAGTCAACAAAGTAAGCCACATAAGGACTCCAGAATCCGTGGATTTAAAGCAGCACCCCAGCTCCCACGGACTGCATCTCACACCTTCCTTGATTCGATACCTGTGAAAGCTGTAACCCCTTAGGGGAACTCGCTGGCCAATGCCGAGCCACATTACATCGGCTCCCCTCAAGGTCAGGTGGTTCGGAGCCGAATCCGTGGTTTGGAGGTGTTCAAAGGGGTGGTTTCCGTGAGTTGCCCTCTACAAGAACCAGGAAATGCTTCAAATCCAAATCCAAACCAACTAGGGTTTCCCTGACACGCGCAGCGCACCGCCGGAAATGCGGTGGTCAACAAGTGCGGAAACCCACCGCCCGCGCCTGGGGGTGAGACACCTTGTCCTGGCGGAAGCGAGCCGAGCCATGAACCCTGCAAACGATCCGACAGCTGGAATATGATGCTTGGTGGTGACCAGTTGTAGGTGGGAAGCCCAGCCAACGAAAGGAATAAGAGTGCCATGACCCTTGTGTCCCGTTTTATTTCGGCAAGCGGCCGGCGCTGGTAAATGAGCAACACCAAACTTATTCCGAGTGCTATCTGGCTTCAACTTAGCTGACCTAAAAGGCCAGCGATGGATAAGCTTCCCTCTAATTCGTGGTTTTGGATTGGTGGACTGGTGGTTAGGGGGAGGCTTCTCGTCCCTCAAGAACCCGGGGTTACCCCCCGTTCCCACCAATCCAAAGCGACCAAGGGTTACCTGATCATGTGCTGAGGTCGGGGGACCTCTCCAGATTCCCCTTCCAATCAGCCCGCCACTTATACTCATCATTTCTACTATTTTTTTGGGGAGAGAGGGGCAGGGTCCCCCAATTCCATTTATCTAGCCTCCGTACGCGGGAAAATGGAACCTCTTGAGGTCGAAGCGAACTGCTGATGCTCAATCGTAAGATGAGCCAACCGGAAACAATGAAGGAGCAAGCATCTACAGGGCCTGAACAATTTGAATGGTGTTGCAGGGGGCTGCAAAACCTCATTGAGTCACGGTCACATGAGAAAACTGTTTGCACTTTGTTAGCTCCTCGCACTACTTGCATCCAGGCTCAACCTCCCAATACTGTGGATGGACTAAATCCGTTCCCACCACTTCGAAACCATGGTTGCAGCCGTTTGTTGGCATTTACTTTGAGAAATTTCTGGGTTTTGCAACCATCCGCAGCATGTCAACCATGTCCCAAACTCTTGCGTGCTCACAAGGGAATGACCATTCCGAGCTTTGAACATGAATCTTTTTTGGGGTTTCCCTTCAAGGAAACCACGCCAGGGATGTGTTTTGTTCCCCGAGGTCATTCTCCCTTAAAGGACACCACATCACGGATGCTTTTTGTTCGAGGTCATTGCAATCCCTCATTCCCTGCCGATCGAACCAGCAAGATCTCAGTTGCCCAACCTTTTGGGGCCACGACGCTGAAAGGGGAGCACAAATATTCAAATTCTAGCAGTTAAGTGGATTTGGATTTCAACCACTAAGCCACAATTTGCAAAAATTGGAAAAATGTTTCCCAACAACAACCGATGTTATGGTTCCCCGTGGTTTGATAGGTGCGGAATGGATTTCATCCATCCCCAGTACGTCAAGTCTCAGCTTCAGACGATGCGCCCGCCGCTCGCCGCTCGCTTAACGCCTGCCTCGGGGTTCACCTTCATGGCCCGGAAGACGATCTTCAGGCGCTCGTCCACGTCCTTCTCGAACATCTTCTCCATCCTCGGCTGCCACTCAAAGTACCACCCCCCCCCCCCCCCCCGGAAATGGTTGGTTTCCTTTAGGTTTCCGATTGAAATCCGAAAAGCATGCCACATGACTCACAACATCCATTTGCTGAAATTAATATCTTTGATCTTCGCCTGTTGGCTTTTAGAGGGAAGTTATCACCAATGGAAATATACTTATTTTTCCAGGGGGCTGAAGCAAATGGAAGACAATCACCATCAAACTCAAAATTGTCGTTACAATTTTGCCACCCCGTGGTTTAGCTTGCATTTTTGCCGTCAGCCGCCCCAAACACATGATAATACACACATGCTGCATCTTTCTGTGGGCGATTTGCCGTGAGCAGCCTCCAATTTGTGATCAGAGGGGGTCATCATAAACCAGAACCAAGCTCTGGAGTCCAGATGAGGTCCTGCCTTTGGCCCGACATATATTTCCCCGTGGAGCCAACAACGCGTCCGAACCCAGCGTTTCCTCCCGTCACACCAGTGTCATGTTCTTGGAAGCCTGCAAACGATGCAGTGTTGCCGGCCCATGCGACAACTTGGCAAAGGCGAGTTTGGCAACAAAGATGCAAGCACCTCCGTGGATCATTGCAAAAAGGTAGCAAAACCATCGAACGCTACAGGGAGGTGAGGCAAACCGCCCAGCCCCCTGACCCCCTTTGGTTTGTGTATGAACCCATGTCCATGTTGCACCATGTTTGGACCATTGCCTGGTGCCTGGTTTCCATGCCATGCTACAAGGGATTCATACCAGGGCATGATACATATAGGTATCTCTCATATATATAGTTGTCTGGCATGTGACTGATGAGCCGCCCTGCAAGTGTGGTTCAAGCTCATGCGACCTGTCATGGCGAACCATTAGCAGCTTACTGGGATGGTTCTTTCCTACAAGCATTCGTAAACAAATGCTGAACAGCGCAAACAAAGATGCTTATTAAGTTTATGCTTATTACAGGTATATATAAGTTATATATAGGTATATACACCGTTGCTCTAAACAGATATATACGCAAACTGATCGTGCAAGTTGATGTATAGGTTATGCTTATTATATACGCAAGTTGCTCTGCGTAAGTTGCTTTAAAATGCAAGTTGCATCTTGCGACGCCCGCCCGCGGACCAGGGAGGAATCGAACCCGCGACCCGCCGGTTCCAGAAGCAGGCGCGCGAACCACGAGACAACTCCCGAGGACCAGTTCGAACAACAAAAGTCGCAAAAAACCTTGAGTTTTTGCACGAGGGTCGCGCGAGCAGGTTAAACATCGCAAAAAACCATGGGTTTTTGCACCTCGACCACGCCGATTCCCGCAGAGGGTCGCGCGAGCAGGTTAAACATCGCAAAAAACCATGGGTTTTTGCACCTCGACCACGCCGATCCCCGCAGAGGGTCGCGCGAGCATGTTAAAAATCGCAAAAAACCTCGAGTTTTTGCACCTCGACCACGCCGATCCCCGCAGAGGGTCGCGCGAGCATGTTAAAAATCGCAAAAAACCATGGGTTTTTGCACCTCGACCACGCCGATCCCCGCAGAGGGTCGCACGGGAACTTTAGAAATTGCAAAAAACCATGGGTTTTTGCACCTCGACCACGCCGATCCTCGCAGAGGGTCGATTTTCGTGTAGTGTCGTCGGCACTACCCCGCCGCCCTAAGAAGAGATTTTAACTCCTCGCAAGTCAATTGCACTTGACTCCTTGCACTTGCAACTTGCACTTGACTCCTTGCTTGTTTCAAGGAGTCATTGCAAGTCATGCACGGACTTGGGCGTGGTTGCAAGTGCAAGTGCAGGAGTCACAAGTGCAAGGAGCCAAGTGCAAGGAGCCAAGTGCAAGGAGCCAAGTGCATGGAGTCAAGTGCAAGTTGCAAGTGCAAGTGCAAGTTGCAAGTGCATGGAGTCAAGTGCAAGTTGAAGTGCAAGTCAAGTGCAAGTTGCAAGTGCAAGGAGTCAAGTGCAAGTTGCAATCCTTGCCATGACTCCTTGCAATGACTCCTTGCAATGACTCCTTGCAATGACTCCTTGCAATGACAATGACTCCTTGCAATGACTCCTTGCAATGACTCCTTGCAATGACTCCTTGCAATGACTCCTTGCAATGACTCCTTGCAATGACTCCTTGCAATGCAATGACTCCTTGCAATGACTCCTTGCAATGACTCCTTGCAATGACTCCTTGCAATGACTCCTTGCAATGACTCCTTGCAATGACTCCTTGCAATGACTTTCATGATGATGATTCCTTGCAATGACTCCTTGCAATGACTCCTTGCAATGACTCCTTGCAATGACTCCTTGCAATGACTCCTTGCAATGACTGCTTGCAATGACTTTCATGATGCTGATTCCTTGCAATGACACCTTGTAATGACTCTCATGAGAACAACTCAAGTGAACCCAGCGGAAGAACCCTTCGCCATGCTTTCGGGAAAATAATAATAATAGTAATAATGATAATAAAAAAAAAAAACATTAAACAAAATAAATGATAAACACAATACTGATAACAATATGTGCATATATATATACATATATAAATATCTATATTGCGACATGTGTTCATGCATTCGGCATTGCATTTTAGGCTTCAGTCGAACTTGTCGTTCGCGCCAAGCCAGCTCGCACGAAGAAACTCGCGAGTTCGCAATTTCCCCAACTCGGCAAAACCTCGGCCTGACCCGTTTCTTTCGGCCCGCGTCGAGTGCGTCAAAGTAATTACTAAACACCCCACCCACCCCACCCCCAAAAAAGAGAAAAAGGGAAAAAGACAACACACACACACCAAACAAAAAGAAAGAAACAAAAGAAAACAAGAAAAAAGAAGAAACAAAAAGAGGTTGGCGCCCCTAAAAGTACCACCCCCCCCCCCCCAAAAAAAAAAAAACAATGAGAAAATAAACAAAGGTTGGCACCCCCCCTCCCCCCCCAAAAAAAAGAAAGAAAGTTGGCACCCCTCAAAGTACCACCCCCAACCCTCCCCCCAAACAAACAAGGTTGGTTGCCTTTGGGCTTCCCACTGAAATCCGAAAAGCACGGCCTAAAAAGAACGCGCGCAGTGGAGAAAAGTCAAAGCCTTAGCAAGGGCGACATCTCCAACTCTCTACTCCTGCTCCAAAGCTGAAACAAAACCTGGCCTATTTCCCTTTCTTCCGGTCAAAATGAGAACATATGTCCAGTAGTGGTAGGCTCCCTTTAAAACCAACAGGGGAAGAGAAGGGAAAAACAAAACTTCAAATGGAAGTGGAGCAGCAGAGTTGGACCCCCCAAGTGAAGCATCGAAGTAATACTGTCCTAGGGGATCCGAAAAACGGTTTGGATGTGACTTTTGTGGATCCACCACTGTAGATATAGAAACAATGAGTACCAAAAGAATATTTAAAACAGGACCAGCAGGGGGAAGAACATGTGATACCCACAAAAGCGCATCCTAACCGTTGTCCAGATTCCCGAAGAAAAACAGGAAGACATAACATATGCGACGAACACTGACTGGACTAACCAACAAACCTAACCATTTGTGGATGGGGGTTCCGACACAAATGTTTTTAAATGCACCCAGCTTTTCGGTTTCGAACTAAAGGCGTCAACCAAGTCTAGGTCCTCCAGTAGAGAGGTTAGAATAAGGGTACCCTTTTTTCTGCAGTCGATTTTCGTAGGGGAACCCTCCCCCAAAAAAGAAACGGTGAGAAAGGGCACCTAGCTGGGGGACCTAGAAGTATCAAAGACCATTTCTGGGATCCTCAAGGGCCCAATGAATCAAAACAAGGAAGAATTGGCCACAAGTATTCAGGGATCCGGATGCATTATACACCTGAACATTGCAACTTGTAAATGGTGGCTTCCCTTTATTTTGGTGGAAAGAGCCATGTTTCAAGTTGCCAAATGGAGATCTTTTAAGGAGCCCTGTAAAATACCAGGGGAACATAAACAGCGGCACAGACTTTTCGGCCCAGCTGCGTGGCAGCCAGCACCGCGAGCTCATGCAGTGTCAGCCCATAGGAGCCCAGGCGGTCCTGCGGATGAGACTCGACTCAGGCCGAACTGTCCGGTCCGCAAAAAGTTCAGAACTTTAGTGGGTGCAAGGTCAAAAAGCAGGTGTAACCTGTGACTGTCCGCAGGTTAAATTCGGAAGTCCAACCACTAAACACTAGGCCAAAAAGCTAAGGGGATGGCTGGACCTCTTTGCACGGCCCCCCTGAACAGTGGAACCAGTCATAATACACCCCCCCTATGTACAGTGGACGCTCGAAAAACCGCCCCCTTTGCAATGCCACATTAGGGGGATAAACATGAAAATCAAAGGTTAAGCGGAATTGAGGACCCCGAATTTCGGTAAGCAGCATTGCCACAACCGAGGACCCCTACACAGTCACAAGATCCTGAATTGCGAAAACCAAATGCCACAATAGCGGATAAACACTAAAAATGTTAACTTGTTGGGGCCACCAAAGATGGGCCAAAACAGGTCGGCATTGGGCAATTGAGTTGTATCTTCGTGGCTGATGTTCAAAAACCATCGAATGGTGAAACCAAGGAGTGACCCCATAATGTTAACATTTTGCTTAGTGTGGAAGCGCACACATTTTCCCAAAACGTTGAAGGTTCAAGATCCCACCCGACCAGATTCCAATGATTCTGCAACTTTTGCTATAATTCCAACAGCTGACTTAAGGGATCCCAAAGTAAAGGCCCTGTATCGCGGTGAGCTCGTTATGCCCCAGGTAAGTTCGCTATAAAATCGGCAGACTATGTCCGAGCATATATTTCCCAACGCCCTGACACCCTGACACCCCGGTCCTCAAAGAGCTCTCGCCTGAAGCGCTGGATTTTTGAATGGAACTCACGCAAAGCAAAAGCGCCAAGCATGTCCAACCGTAGCCTAGTGAAGTGCGTGAGCTGAGCTGCTTTGTTGGCTGGCCAGAAACAATAACTTTTCGGGCTTTAATTAAAAAGGAGGGACTTGCTTGACCAGGGGCAAAGTGAATGCCAGCCACGATTAAAAACAAACAAAAACAAACAAACATTCTTTGCTGTGTTGAGACCTTCCTTGTTGTACCCGTGCAGTGTGCTATAATATCCCAAAACACCTTCTTTTTTGCGATTGAGACTATTCTCGATATTCAATTTTCTGAGCAGTCTTTCCTGACATCACTTTTTTAACACGCAGATATTTCGCGATTGTGCCATCATTCTGTTCAGGACGCAGTACCAACTCCCAACCTGCGAGACACCGGAGTCATGAACTGGTGGAAAAAATGTTCCTTGTGTTCTACGTCCGTCGCGTGTACTCTCTTAGGGGATCCCCCCCCTCACCCCCCACAAAGGAGGCTTTCCTTGTTGGGTTGCCTGCAAGCAACCCAAACCCCTCAAAGAAAAGGTACCCTCCCCAAAAAAGACAAACCCACGTGCTTCAGTAAAAACTGTGGGCCGTGCCGTGGGCCACTGCCCTGTCTAGAAAACAAGTTCACGGGACGAAGTTTGCCTAGAAACAAGTTCAAGGCCCCCGAACTTGCACCCAGGGCCAGCCCAAAGGATGGGCTCAAACCTCATGGCTGCTGTCTCAAACTTCGCTTCCCTCCAATTGGTGGTTTGCAGCTTGGTGCTTTGGTGGGTTTCTCATCTACCCTCCACAAACACAAGGGGTTCAAACCCCCAAACCACCAATCCACCAACACCGGTAACAAGTTGTGGGGTTCAGCGGCACCCCCTGCTCGCTGCTCGCGAGCCCCAAACCCCGCCCCCCCCCCCCCCCCCGAGCACGAGCGGCATTTGGGAAGGCACGCGGTCGCCCATTGCCAGCACTGGCGACTCGGCATCCCAAGCGCCTGCAACAGACTTGCAATGAATCTCTTCCCCTTGAAGAACAAAAAAAAAACACATTTAGTACTTGGAGGGGTCGGAGAAGATAAGACTTCCTGTATTGATACCCACAAAACACGCGGCTCGCCCACAAGCATCTTTATGGGGATGTCTGCCGCTGCCTGGTTTAGGTTTAGGGTTGTTAGGGTTTAGGTTTAGGGTTTTTAGGGTTTAGGTTTAGGGTTTTTAGGGTTTAGGTTTAGGGTTTTTAGGGTTTAGGTTTAGGGTTTTTAGGGTTTTTAGGGTTTAGGTTTAGGGTTTTTAGGGTTTAGGTTTAGGGTTTTTAGGGTTTAGGTTTAGGGTTTTTAGGGTTTAGGGTTTTTAGGGTTTAGGGTTTAAACCCAAGACAGGGTGCTCCCAATCCAGGTTTCGACCCCCCAGTTTTGAGGGAGTTCAACACACACAGGTCTACAAGCTCCCACGCCTGCCACGTTTTTTAAGGGTCGGGGGCGGGCAAGCGGGTTTTGGCCGTATTTATACAATGCATTTGTTTTATAGGGGGAGGAGACTAGTCAGACCCTTGACCCAAACGCTGGAAAATACATATGTATACATATGATGTTCGAGGGTCTCCCTTTTTTGGGCGGTGTGAAACACAAGGATGCCACCAATTAATCTTGAATATCCCCTAATTTGAAACAAACCCATGACTGCGCAGCTGGGGAAAGCTGGAAACTTGACCAGCCCAAAATCGCTGCCGGCATCGGTGTTTTGCCACAGTGCTCGTTGCTAAAAGGGGCAATCGGGTACAAAAGAAGCCTGGTGAAATAACCCACAAAAGCCATGGCTATAAGTCTCCGTTCAGTGGGGTATACCCAGGATCCGGATCGCCCCTTTAAGCACGGGGAAATGAACTGCAGACGATGACCAGGGAGCCCGTGTGGCCTTCTTCACTTGAGATGCCCAACAGGCCGCAAGGCAACGAGGTAACCAGGTCTGCCCCTTCGCCCCCTGTTTTGTTTCCCCTTGTTTTTCTTCTTTTTTTCCTCTCCGGTGCAAAGCAACAGGGTTCCAGTAGAAGGATGCATCCACACACCACCTGCATAAGAAGAAAAGTTTCAAGTCGATTTGCTGGTATGTCGCGTAGTCGTTGTTTTTAGTGGTATCCTTCGAGGGAGCCTACCTGGCAGCTGCGCATGGCGAGGTTGCCGAAGACTCGATGGTAGTCAAACGATGGCATTCTACTGCAAAGCGCAAGTTTTCACTCCGTTTCAGCCGGATCGTCTACACTTCGCCAGCACCTTTTGCCAAAAAAAGACCTTGCCGCCTCTCACATGCAACCCAGGATTTAGAACCTGGTTGGATAACGTTTTGAACATGGCAGAATACCTCCCCTGTTGTTTCCGTTCGAAAAAGCTGAATGGGCCGGGGAGTTGTCCCATCTTAACGGAACATGTCCT